TGCAACTGTAACTACAAAAAACTTGCTGGAATTTTGATAGGAATGGCATTAACTATACAAATCAATTTAATTATGTTGAGTGTTTCAACCCATGAACATGGTATGTCTCTCTATTATTTAGGTATTTGGACAGTATTTTTTGTAGTTTTCAACGTAAAGACCCTGATCATGTTTTGTTAGACTTTTACCTAAGTGTTTCATTTTTCAGAGTTATTGTAAATAGTGTTACTCACTGGTAACTCTCTCTCTCTCTCTCTCTCTCTCTCTCTTTCTCCCTCTCTCTATAACTTTGTCTTTCAAGTGAATAAATAAATAAATATTTATAAAAAATAGGATTAAGTTACCTAATTTGAATAAGATATAAGGTTGGGATAAATAGATTTGCCACATGGTATCTATAAATTCTTCAAGTTGTTTAGGAGTTACTCTACAGCAAGGTGATAAGATATCATATATAAATGGTGTGATTGTGTATTGTGAACAATAATAAGCAATAGTAAATATTTAAAATAATCAACTGTACAAAAATACTAAGTACTTATTGTGTGCCAGAGACTGTTCTAGCAATTATTCATGAATGAACACATCTAGCAAACCCTATGAATTGGATACTATTACTCCCATTTTACAGATGAGGAAACAGATGGTAAAAACTCAGCTAGTCTGGCTCAGAAATGGCACTATTAGCCACTACACAATGAATTGGAAGAGTCTAGAAATAGACCTCTAAATGTCTGGGAATTTAGTATTTGTTAAAGGGGGAATTTCAGATGATTATGTGTAATATCAATAATTATATAGGAACAATTGGATGGTTCTTGGGAAAAAATGAAAGTCAGAACCCTGCATTTGTACTGTACATCAAAATCAGAAACATATGGTTTAAATACACAAGGTTCAAAGACAACAAATTGAGGAAAATATGTGTTACAGAAAGACAAAAGGTTATTATCCACAATATAAAAAGTGCTAATCCTAACTCAACAAGACTATTCAACAAAATACATAGGCAAAAAAACACAAACAGGCTATAAATTTTTTAAAAAGATAAATAATTATATAAATAGCTCAGGAAAAAATTAAAGATGCTCAACCTCACTAAAAATCAATATGATGATTGATGTAAAGATTGACATATCACTTTGTAAGTGTCAGACTAGCAAAGCAAAAATATTACTGAAAACATACAACATTAGCAAGGGTTTAAGAGGAACATCACTCTCATACTCTAGTACTGTGAATATAAATTTGGCATTATCTATCCAATTGTAAAATATGCATAACCTGTACTGCATTTCCATTCTAGTAATTTGTCTTAAAGAACACCTATGTGCAAACGTCTGTCTACAAGGATGTTCATTGTTCTAAAATAATGAAAATTCCATGACAATTTAAAGGAACACCTACCCTATGCAACTAATTAAGAAATAAGGTAAATCTTTAAATATTGACATGTTAGGACACCCATAATCTATTGTTGCCTTATCTACTTATTTCTGAGTATCCTTAGGGGATTTCTTATAGGCTGACTGCTAGTTAAATTAACACAGCTTTCTAACCTGTAAAATGGGCATAATCACATAAAACATTTTTAAACACCCATCAGTGAAATTGAAGAAGACATAAATAAATGGAAAAGTATTCCATGTTTTTGGATTGAGGGAATTAATACTGTTAAAATGTCCATACTATGTAATCTGTAGATTGCTATCAAAATTTCTATCAATTTTATAATTTCTATAAATTTCTATCAAAATAATAATGACATTCTTCACAGAAATAGAAAAAAGTCCTAAAATTTATGTGGAATCATGAATGATCCTATGGTGCCAAAGCAATTCTGTGAGAAAAAAAAAATGTTGGAATGTTGGAGGCATCACACTACCCGTCTTCAAAATATACAAATGTAGCACAACAGATTAAGCTGCCACTTGGGATGTCAGGAATTCAGTCTTTTTTTTTTTTTCAAGATTTATTTTATTTATTTGAAAGTCAGAGTTACACAGAGAGAGAAGGAGAAGCAGAGAGAGAGAGAGAAGCCTTCCATTCTCTGGTTCACTCCCCAGTTTGCCGCAGCCAGGAGCCAGGAGCTTCCTCTGGGTCTCCCACATGATTGCAGGGGCCCAGGGACTTGGACCTTCCTCTACTGCTTTCCCAGGCCATAGCAGAGAGCTGGATCAGAAGTGGAGCAGCCGGGTCTTGAACTGGTGCTCATAGGGGATGCCGGTATTGCAAGCAGCAGCTTAACTCGTTATGCCACAGCACCAGACCCAAAATTTATTTATTTATTTGAAAGACAGAGTTACACAGAGAGAGAAGGAGAAGTAGAGAGAGAGAGAGAGGTCTTCCATCGCTGGTTCACTCCCCAGTTGGCCACAATGGCAGGAGCTGCATAGATCTGAAGCCAGGAGCCAGGAGCTTCTTCTAGGTCTCCCACTCTGGTGCATGGACCAAGAACTTGGGCCATCTTCTACTGCTTTCCCAGGCCATACCAGAGAGCTGGATTGGAAGAGCAGCAGCTGGGTCTAGAACCAGAGCTCTTACGGGATGCTGGTGCTGAGAGTGGAGGCTTAGTCCACTATGCCATAGCGCCCGCCTCCCAAAAAACCTTGAAATATAGGCTGTGAGGGCTGTTCAAAAAACTCATAGAATACGTATTATGGAAAAACTATACATGGATTTTACAACTTTTTGCACAAAAGAAGCCCAACTTTTAATTCCAGTTTCCATGAACTTTCTTAAGTACCCTTGAATAAACACACAGTGAATTACTATTCAGTCATAAATAAGGAAGAAATCCTTCTATTCCCAACAACTTGGATGGAACTAGAGGATGTTAAGTGAAAAAAGTCAGAAACAGAAAGATAAATGCTGCATGATCTCACTCATATGTGGAATCTAAAAATATTAACCTCATGGTAGTAGAGAGTAGAATAGTGGCTGCTAAAGTCCGAAGAGGGGAAGGAAGAATGAGAAGAAGCTGGCCAATGTGTACAAGGTTACTAGTAGAGAGGAGGCATAGGTTCTGGTATGTTCTACTGCCATCCAGGGTAACTATAGTTAATGTATCTTTCAACACGCTGGAAGAGATTTTTAAAATATTTATTTATTTATTTATTTGAGAGACAGAGTTACAGAGAGGGAGAGGCAGAGAGAGAGAGAGAGAGAAAGAGGGCAAAGAGAGAGAGAGATCTTCCATCCACTGGTTCACTCCCTAGATGGCCACAAAGGCTGGAGCTGGGCTGATCCAAAGCCAGGAGCCAGGGACCAGGAGCTTCTTCTGGGTCTCCCACGCAGGTGCAGGGGCTCAAGGACTCGGGGCATCTTCTACTGTTTTCCAGGCCACAGCAGAGAGCTGGATCGGAAGTAGAGCAGCTGGGACTCTAACTGGCACCCACATGGGATGCCGGCACTGCAGGCATCGGCTTTACCTGCTAAGACACAGTGCTGGCCCCATATCTTTTTTTTTATTCTTTTTTAAAATATTTATTTATTCACTTGAAAGGAGAGCAATGCAGTGCAGGCAGGGAAGGAGGGAGGGAGGGAGGGAGGGAGAGAAAGAGAAAGAATCTTCCATCTACTGATTCCCTTCCGAAATGGCTGCAATAGCCAAGGCTGGGCCAGGCCAAAGCCAAGACCCTAGAACTCCATCCAGGTCTCCCAGGTGGATGGTGGGGGTCCAAGGAATTGGGCCATCCTCTGCTGCCTTCCCAGGCACATTAGCAGGGAGCTGAATGGAGAACAAAGTACCTGGGCCAGGAACCCACACTCTGATATGGGATGCCTGCTACACAAGCAGCAAATTAACCTGCTGAGCTGCATGCTAGCTCCTGGAAGGGAGATTTGAATGCTCTCCCTGAAAGAAATGATAAATGTATGGTGATGGATATCCTAATTACCTTGGTTTGATCATTACATAATGTATTATGTGTCTAAACACCATATTGCACTCCATAAATATGTACACCTATTATGTGCGAACTAAAAGAACAGTTTGGTATTGGGGCTGGTATGGATTTCAGGACTACTGAAAAGATGATTTACACTGACACACACTTTTTTGTACTTGGGAATTTGGTTTTTGATAAACATTAAGAATGTACAGAAAATGTTTGAAGTCCTATGAGGGGCTGGTGCTGTGGCTTAGCAGGTAAAGCCACCACCTGCAACGCTGGCATCTCAAGCCAGTTCAAGTCCTGGCTACTCCACTTCTGATCCAGCTCCCTGCTATGGCCTGGAAAAGCAAAAGAAGATGGTCCAAGCTCTTGGGCCCCTGTACCCACGTGGGAGACCTGGAAGAAGCTCCTGGCTACTGGCTTTGGATCACCAGAGCTCCAGCCACTGAGGCCATTTGGGAATGAACCAGTGAATGGAAGACCTTTCTCTCTCTCTCTCCCTCCCTTCCTCCCTCTATGTCTCTGTAACTCTGACTTTCAAATAAATTAAATAACTAACTAACTAAATAAATCTTTTTAAAAGTCCTGTGGAAAATAATAACCAATTATTATTTATTAAAACAATAACTATTAAAATTAATACTATTAAAACTATTAAAACAATAACAATTAAAACAATAACTGTTATTTATTAAATAATAATTAATTATTATTTATTAAAGGTAAAATTGTAAGAATATTTAATAACTTGGAAAAATAATCACCAAAAAATTCCAAGTGAATTACAGAATGAAACACAATAAATCCTACAGTAGCACCAGAAAATACAATAAAGTTTCTAATTTTGGAGTAGATAGGCAAGATTCAAAAAGCAAAAGCTATAAGAGAAACTACTGATGCATTTGAATACATTATCATTTAAAACAATTGTATCCTAAAAGACCCCATAAACAAAATTTAAAAGTAATCAAAAGTCTGCAAAAAAATTCCCTCACGTGTCACAAAGATTTATATCCAGACTACAAAATTCAATAATAAGACAAATAATCCAACTGGAAAATAGATATGAGCAGGCAAGTTACAAAATGAGAAAAACAATGACCAACAAACATAAGAAAATATTTATTAGCCTTGCTAATAATTAGGGAAATGCAAATAATGAGGCATTTCTTTCAACCATTACATTGTCAAAATATTAAAATGGTTACTATCCAGTGTAGGTAAGCATTTAGGGAAGTAGTTATTCACCGCTGGGGCAGAGGTGTGTAAACTGTAATAATTTTTCTACATGACAACTAAGCATTGTGTATTAAAATTTCAAAATATGTTGTCTTTTTAAAAAAGATTTATTTATTTATTTGAGAGGTAAAGTTACAGACAGAGAGAGGGAGAGACAGAGAGAGAGGCCTTCCATCCCCAATTGGCCACAATGGCTGGAGCTGCGCTGATCTGAAGCCAGGAGCCAGGAGTTTCTTCTGGGTCTCCCACGTGGGTGCAGGGGCCCAAGGACTCGGGCCATCTTCTGTTATTCCAGGTGCAGTAACAGGGAGCTGGATTAGAAGTGGAGCAGTCGGGACTCAAACCATCGCCCCTTTGGGATGCTGGCGCTGCAGGAGGCTTAGCCCACTACACCACAATGCTGGTTCCTATGTTGTCTTTTTGATCCAGTCATTTCACTTCTTCATGATTATCTTGGAGAAATCTTTTAGCTTAGGCACAAAAAAAGCATGCACAAGAATTTTCATTGCAACACGGTTAGTTATTATTTTTAATTTTTTGGTACACTCTACATGCTTTTTATTACAATACTATCAAGCATACAAGGAAAATTCATCATCCAGTAACAACATCTAAAGTATAAACATTTGAAAGGAAGAGAATAAACAGATTCATTAAATTATGATGTGATTAAATCATTGACCAACTAGAAATTTCTTTTAAAGATTATTTATTTATTTGACAGGTAGAATTACAGACAGTGAGAGGGAAAGACACAGAGAGGGGTCTTCCATTCGCTGGTTCACTCCCCAAATGGCCACAATGGCCGGAACTGGGCCTATCTGAAGCCAGGAGCCAGGAGCCTCCTCCAGGTCTCCACATGGGTGGCAGGGGCCCAAGCACTTGGGCCATCCTCTGCTTTCCCAGGCCATCAGCAAAGAGCTAGATCAGAAGAGGAGCTGCCAGGACTAGAACCAGGGCCCATATGGGACGCCGGTGCCATAGGCAGAGGATTAGCCTACTGCATCACAGCGCCAGCCCCCCAACTAGAAATTCTTATAATAAAGCCAGAAAAAACATTGTAAAATATAATTTATAACCATTGTTCGCATTCAAGGAATGAATTCAGTCCAAATAATTCATACATTAGAATTTAAATAACACAGACTGAACTAGAGGCTAACAATAGTCAGCAAATAGCCTTCTATAAAATAAAAATACGGAAGTGTAAATCCTAATATCAGTGCATTATTTGTTTCCATACTTTCAAGAACATTTTGCTTTGCCTGTACATCACAGTTACAGCTACAGACTAGGTAGAGAATATTACACGTGTTCTGACTGCCCGTGACTGGAAAGACAGCTACCACACTATTTTTTTTTTAAGATTTATTTTATGTATTTGAAAGGCAGGGTTACAGAGAGAGAGGAAGAGAGAGAGAGAGAGGGAAAGAAAAGGAGAGTGATTGATCTATCTGCTGAACTGGGCCAGGCAGGAGCCAGGAGCCAGGAGCTTCATCTGGGTCTCTCACGTGGGTGGCAGGGTTCCAAGTACTTGGGTCCTCTCCACTGCTTTCCCAAGCCTTTAGCAGGGAGCTGAATCAGAAGTGGAGCAGCCGGAACTCAACTTGGCACCTGTATGAGATGCCAACATTGCAGGCAGTGGTTTAACCCACTATGCCACAACGCCCACCCCAGCTAACACATTATGGATTCATCAATTTTTATGTTGTAAAGGATTAGCTACAGCAACTCTAAGTACCATAACAATTTAATTTTGCCAATGTCCAATCAAAGTAGTAGCTTTCGCCAGCAAAATGACCTATTCATATTCACCGAGTCAGAAGTTAGACTAGTGTGGGTTAAGCGACTAAAAGTGGTTTGCTTTTTGAAAAAAGGTCTCTGTTACAAATTTTGGTGTTTTTTCATGTGGAAGAAATGCGTTATGGGGAAAATTTGGGTATCCATATGAGCCCCTTCTGTTCCCCACCACACATCTCAGTGACAGATATGACTGCTCCTTGCTAGAATCAGTCTCCTAATCCTCCCCAGCTCAGGTTCTGCACAGCCAACCAGATGTACCACCCTGCAATGTTTCACCAGAGCCCCGGTGCACCTCTGAGGCTGGGGAAGCGATGCCAGCCCTGGTTCCTTGGCATTGCACACATGCTACATAAGAAAGAGACGGCCACTAGAGTTACCATCCCTTTGCCTTAGGTTTGAAAGGAAACAAAATGTGCCTGCGCCAAGGCTCACTAGGCTAATCCTCTGCCTGGGGCGCCGGTGCCATGGGTTCTAGTCCCGGTTGGGGTGCCGGATTCTGTCCCGGTTGCTCCTCTTCCAGTCCAGCTCTCTGCTATGGCTTGGGAAAGCAGTAGAACATGGCCCAAGTCCTTGGGTCCCTGCACCCACGTGGGAAGAAGCTCCTGGCTCCTGGCTTCGGATCGACACAGTTCTGGCCGTGGTGGACATTTGGGGAGTGAACCAATGGAAGGAAGACCTTTCTCTCTGTCTCTCTCTCACTGTCTGTATCTCTACCTCTCAAATAAAATAAAATGGCAACTTTTCCAAGAACATAGTATCTTCACTTTCTCTCTCACAGCAGCTGCAAACTCTGAAGTCTCAGCAGTGAGCGGGGGTGGGGGTGGGGGTGGGGAGTGTTGGGTCTGGAGAGGAGCCTGGGAAGGGGGTGGGGGTGGGGGAGGGAAGCACAGGTAATTCTGCACACTTTGGCTCCGGGAGAGTGCAACATCACTCCCTCACCTACTGTGCAGAAATAAAGAATGTAACAATTTTGCATGGAACAGGACTAGGCAACTAGGAGCACCAGGTGGGGAGGAGGCCTTAAACCCACACCAGCTGGAACAGCCGCATTCTCCAGGGAGAAAGCTGGCTTTCGAAAAAGCCTGGTTTTCGAAAAGCACTATAATAGTAAAAGATTGAAAGCCATATATGTTTATCAATGGGTGAATTGTTAACTCATTCAATGAAATACTGTATGGTAGGTAAAATGAATGAAGTTTGTCTATATATACTTACATGAAAGTGTCCCTAAACTGTGTTAGGTGACTACAGCAATTAATAGAATAATACCTAAAATAGGATGAAATTTGTATTTAAAAAAATGAAGGACACAAAACACAAACACAAAACAAAGCTATTTCTATTTGTGTATATGAATGTAAGGAAAACTTTAAATTTGTCTATGTTGAATATTTTATCATAATGTAATCATGTGTAATTAGGAAAATATTTTTAAAATGAAAAAAGAACAAAACTGAAGTTAATTGCATGCTAAAGAAAGGAAAGCTTCATGGTGCCATTAAAATGTTATAGAGAAATATTTAATTACATGACAAATATTCACTAGGTTATTAAATAATAACATGCTATGATACTGTGCTTGCTTAGAACAGTAAATGCATATATAATGTACAGAAAAAAAAAAGGAGAGGACAAAAAAACCAAAACATTAATACTAGTCCTATCTGGGTGGCTAGATTATGAGTGTTTTTCTTTTTGTATTGTCTATGGCTTCATCTAATTTCTGAATGTCCTACAATAAAAAAAAGTTTAAAAAAAAACACACATGCCTGGGGGTGTGTGTGGGGTTATATTGGTTAGAACGAGGACTAGAGAAGAAATGGAGTTAGCAAGAGAACAAGAGGCTGCTGCAGACTGAAGTGTAAACTAGGGCTGTGGGGTATATGGGGTTTTAGAATTAGATGTGGGGAACTAGACTGTACTTGGCCCAGGAATTAGTAGTAGAAAATGAAGGGTTAGAATTAGGAGTAGAGAGCATGGATTATAAGAATTGGTGGTTAGCCTAGCCATTAAGGTGCTCATCTCCCACATTGGAGTGCCTAGATTTGATAGCTGCCTCCTACTCCTGCCTCTGGCTTCCTGCTAATCCTGGGAAGCCGCAGGTGATGGGCAAGTACATGGGTCCCTGGCACCCAGGGTTCTGGCTTCCTGGCTCCTGGATTCTCCCTGGCCCAGCACTATCGTTGGGGTCTGGGGAGTGAGCCAGTGGATAGGAGATTTCTGTGTTCTCTCTGCCTTTCAAATAAACAGAACAAATAAATAAAAACTAAAACAAAACAAAACACTGGAGGGTATAATCAGTTTTTATTTCCTCTGTCACAAGAGTTCTTTGAATGGTCCTTTTGTCTTTATACTTTAAAATAATTAATACATACTTTTTGTTAAAATTCCAAACACTGTCAAAGCGTATAGAGTTGCCAAAGCCCTTTCCTCCTCTAACCCTTCAATCTCATTGTGTGTCCCCAAAGAAGCAAGGTTAATAGGGGATCTCCTGTAGCTTTGTATTCCTATACAATCTTCTACAGGCCCCTCACCAATTGCACTACTACCCCCAAATCCTTCCAAGGAGAAAAAGAAAGAACGCTTGAGAGCTTACTATGTGCCAGCTCATGTGGATTCACTGTGATGGGCGACCCCCACCCGGTCGTCTCCGGCTCTCCGTACTGTCCTGGCTTGTCTTCTTGCCGCCCCTTCAGCTAACAGCCCCCCCCCCCCCCCCGCCTTCACAGGGCAGCTAGAGAGGTTGTTAATTTTAAAACGTAAATCAAGTCAAGTTATGCTCCCTCGAGAGGCTTCCACCACGGCAGGAATCAAAGCCCAGTTCCCAGAGACCCTGCTATCTTGTGTGGTTGCCTCTGCGGGGCCATGAGTAGCTCGGGGGCGGTCCCACGCAGGAAACCCGGCTTCAAGACCCAGGGAGCGCCCTCCCCAGGGGCAGGGGCGGAGCTTCTCTGCGGTGGGTGGAGCCTCAAATCTAGTGTGAGCGGAGTCGGAGCCCGGAGGCTTTCGAGCGAGGGCGAGCGAGGGAAGCAAAGCTGAAGCAGGGCCGCGGACCCCGCACGCTCCTGCGGGCCCCGCGGAGCATTTGCGGCGGAGGTGAGCGTCTTCCCTGGGATGGGAGAGGTGGGTGCTATTCGCATGGCCGCCCTCGGCGCCTCGCGGGGTGGGTGGCAGTTCCCACTGGACCCTGTGCGGAGGCGCGGAGGTGGCGGCCTTGGGGAGCCTGCGGGAAAGGCTGGTGAAGGGGCCGGGCGGCCTGCCCCAACCCTCCCTGACCCCGCCTCCTCCCCCCTCCCCCAGGCCTCTGCCGGCGCCAGCGGAGAGCTAGCCGCATCTTCGGGGACGGCAGGGCAGCTGCCGGCAGCGCGGCGACGGCGGCCGACAGAGGGGATGCGAGGTACCGGCATTAGCTGTGGCCAAGTGGCCCTAGAGAGGGAGTAGAGGCCGGGCCTTCGGCATTTCTCCCCCGGGTTCCAGGAAGGCGGCCTCAGAGGAGAGGGAAGGTGAGGGGCGGGCAGGCAGGCTTTGCGGGTAACTACTAGGCGTTGTGTATGTATGTTTTGGTATCTAAATGGTACTACACACACATGCACGCACACACACACACACGCTCGTTTCGGAAAATTGCTTTTTAAAAATTGAACAATGTGTTTTGCACACCTTCCTATATCAGGGAATCCAAATTTATCTCAGCTTTTAAACAGCTGCATTGGATGATTGTACTACAGTGTATTTAACCATTTCTTGATTGATGTACATTAGCCTGTTTCCTTTGGCGGGGTGGGGGGGAAGGGACGTATTACAAGCAATGCTATAATGAATGGGTTTGTGTATATGTTTCGTGCACATGTATGAGTATTTCCATAGGAGAAATTCTTAAGGGAGTAATCTCTGAGTAAAATGTATATGCATTTTGAATTTTGATAGATTTGTCCAAATTACCTTCCCCAAAGGCTATACTAATTTATACCCTTCAGTGTTGTGCAAGAGTGCCTATTTTTCCACAGTTGTGTCAACAGCAATTATTATCAATCTTTGTAATTTTAGCCAATTTAAAGGGCAAAAAAAAATCGTATGTTGTTTTCATTTGTATTTTCCTGATTACTAGTGAAATCAAACGTAGTTTATTCGTCCCATTACAAAAGTAAATGGGCAGATATCAAGTCTTCCTATCTATAAGCAATATGCATTTTGAAAATACAAACCTAAAAAATTCCACTTGCAATAACAAAAAAAACATTAAAAATACCTGAAAGTAAACTATAAAACTTTATTGAGGAATATAATAAAAGGTTTTCATAAATGGGGAAGAGGTACCATGCTTCTGGATAAGAAAGCTCGATTTTTTTAGTGATGTCTATTTTTTCTATATTGGTTTATACATTTGCTGCAGTTTCAATAAATATACCAAGTTTTTGAAACTTAATATGTTTCGAAAGTTCATCTAAGGGGGGGGAAGGGATGGCTAAGAAAAACTGGGAAACGATTTTAAAAGATAAGATGGGGCTATTTGTACTACTAGCTATTAATATACTCTAAGGGAACAATATTTAAATTAGAATGGACAGAACAATGCATTAGAATGGAAAAGCCCACAAATCGAGCCACATTGGATCCCAGGATTTATTGGTGAAACATTGTTGGCTAGATGTGGAAAAATTGCCATATTAAAAGCTTCAAGCACTAACCACCACCACTACCACCACCTCAAGTTGAATTTGCCTTTGAGGGCAGACTCCTTTGTTTGGAGAAAACCACTTTATTGGATCTTTTTGGTTATGCCAAGGTAAAGCTTCAGTACTTAAAATTGGTGGCTCTAGAGCCAGAATGAACGCTATGAACCTTTAGTTAGATTAAGATGGATTCAGGTTAGCCTGCAGTGCGGCGAGGAAAGAAGTCTGGTTATTATAGGTCTTTTAAAATTTTTTTCGATCTAATGGGCAAAAAATGTTATGTCATTGTTTGCATTTGCATTTGCGTGCTTATTGTGAGATTGAACGTCTTTTATATGTTAGTCCAGGATAATATGTTATTCCTGGAGGCAGGTAACAATAGGAGACCCATTGCTCCCCTTCTAGAATGGAGTTTGGCTAATTGGTACAGCCCTGCCCGGAAGCGTGAGAATAAACAGGTTGACTTTTTAAATTTTCCTCAAGCACTGGGCAGGCTCTAGACACCTAGATTGGGGGCGGAGGCAGTTTTCAGGACATGGCCGAGATTTGGCGCTGAGCTGTGTCATCGCGAGGTTTGGCAGACAGCTCCGCAGTGGGTCGGAAACCTCGTGGTAAGCGAGATCCCTGCAGGACGAGAGGTTCCTCCCTTCCCCCCGAAAAACTCCCAGTCATTTTCGTGAAGCCCCGCCTCTCTCCTTTTTAGGAGCATGCACCAGGTCTCGCGAGATCTCTTGTTTCCTAAAGGCGAGGCGCGGGCGGCATCCTGCGGTGAATCTCGAAGGTCTCTTCGGGGCTAAAGCGTATTATCGCGATAGTTCTTACAGCGCATGCGGGAGCCGGCGGCGGCAGATTGGCTCCGCCCCTCGGTCCTTCGTGAGGTTGTGCGTCATTTGCTTTTCGCTTCGCTTAGGGTGAGAGCGGAGCTGTAGCGACTTAAGCTTTGGTGGGAGGAGGGGTCTGGGAAGGGTTGGGCTCCGGCTTTCCCGGCCGGTGGAGGTTCTCGCGGGATCGCGCGAAGGCGGCAGCGTTTCGGCTACTGACTGCAGCAGCCGCGGAGGCGGCGGCTACGTCTTCGGCTCGTACTGTTCTTTGCCGGTGAGTTCTCGCGGGAGCGGGTGTACGTCCTCGTGGGATCGTTGGCGGTGGCAGAGGTAGCTCGGGGGTGGGGGGGGCAGTGACTAGGGTCGGTCCGCCTGCTGTTAAGATGGCGGCGGAGGCTGATGTCTGTCCGGCCAGGACCGAGGACTAAGGTGTTGACTATCCGCGTTTGTGACGCCTCTCAGGTAGCCGACATTAAGGAGGTGACGAATGGCGAAATGCCGATGTGCCGGTAAACCCGACCGCAGATGAAGACCATCCCGTTTCTAGTTGGTGGAGGCGACACCATTTCCCAGGCCTCAGCCGCGTGTGGGCCCGCCTTTGCCCCACCGATCGGTCAACGCCTCCGTTGTTGCCGCCGCAGTGGGCGGGTTGGGGCGAGTGGGAGGGGAGTCTGGAGTGGCTGGGGAATGGGGTTGGGGTTAGATTGGTGGGAGAGGAGACCAGCCAACTAGGACTGGTACCCTACCCCCTACAGTTTTTATGCGCGCCCACCTCCGTTCTCAGCTTTTGCAACAACCCAGATGAATCCCCTAGTTTTTCTTTAGTTGGGCTGGGCTCTACTTCCCTAAGTCCCACGGTCTTAGAGCTAAGGGTTGGGGGGTCGAGCTGTAGCGTCTATACTCCTGCCCCTTCTCCCCTAAGTCATCGTCCTGCCCAATCTTTTCTGCGTGGATACTTGGGGCTCTTATTTAAGGAGAGGGGAGTCGGAGCTTTTCCCTGCCAGCCCTTCCGCAGGCCTTGTAATTTAGAGCTTAGCCCGAGTCCCCTAGCCTGGCCCGTCTTCCTCTTCCATCGGTCCACTACTTGGCGCAGGCGTTGAATAGAGCCTATCGTGATCCCTACATTTACTCCATCTTTGTTGAGGGAGCACAGTAGCCATGCATTTCCACAGGTTTTCACGCTTATATGACTCTGATGGGCCCTGGTTTCTTCCAACTCTGCATACTGCTAGACCACTCTTAGGCAGAACAATGAATGGACCGCTGGGGTCAGTAGTTGGATGATTCGTGGACCCTTCATTTGTGGCTGTTAGCCTTCCCTTTCTCATACCCCCTTCCCCTCAAAAAGGGAGGGGGAGCTGTGGAGGATAACCCTCCAGTAAACCAACTTTCTGTTCTCTGTCCCTCACCCATTCCCACTGCAAGCTTGGGAACCGCCCCTTTTCCCTGTCTTGCTCTGAGTTTCGGTAACCTCTCGGTCTGTGGACATCTATTTTTGTTGCTAACCACCAGTACATGCTTCTCACTTCTTGATCTTTCTATACCTTGCGTCCCTTCCACCCCCCACCCCCACCCCACGCTCTTTTTCCAAGAGCCAAATTCCCTAGAGAGGAGTCAGGCTCCCCTATGTGTTCTAGAAAATAGCATTGATTTAACCCTTAAACATTGCCCTTTCCTGCTTTATTTCCTTTCCCCGCCATACTACCCCTATTGTAGGCAATTAATAATTTCCAGTCATTTGTTTCCTTTGTAGATTACACGTTGGGCATTGTTATTTTTTAGCTCCAAGTTTGCATATATTGAGGACACACCAGCATTTTCCATTCATGGGAAGCAGTCTGTATGGTGGAAATATTGTGTGTACCTTGGGTTTTCATTGAACTTTGTGACCTTGGGCAAGTTTCTTTTCAGATTCTCAGTTTCTTCTCATCTGTAGAATGGGGATGGTGGTGCTTACTTTAAAGGATTGTTGCTAGAATTAGAGAATTTATGCAGGTCACTGCTCAAGGCAGGCACACAATAGATTGTGATTTTTTTTGTAGGAATACACGTGTAGATGCATCTGTGTCATCTGCTAGTTTTATGACCTGGAAAAGAATAAGAGATCTTTGTTTTGATCTATATATTTCTTGTCCAGACCTATCATTTTTGTTTGTGTTCCTTAGAAGCCAAGCTCTGTCTCTGATGGTTCATGATGTTTGAATGTGATTCCCACTCTGTCTAGGAATTTTAGTGCAAAATCACTATCTTGGAATGACTACCAGCTATAATGTTGTCAAGAACCACACCCAGGTGTTCTACTTTTTGGAAGGGGTGCCTCATCCCTTACCTACTCATTCCTTCCACTCTTTCAAAGGCAGTCTGTCCTGGCATCTGCCCTATAAAAGTAAAGAAATTTGGTGCCATGCATTTTACAGTGGTCAAGGGAACTTCTGGCTATTTTCCAAGTGTTCATGCTGCTTGTCCCTCACATTACTTGTTTGGGCCCTCAAAATCTGGGAAGATCTGCTATTTAGTAATCATCCTCTTACCTGGGCAGGATAATTTATATGTGAGAGATTTTAGATTATTTGGAATACGGAGCAGCTTTTCCAACAGTGAGTCACTTCTGCTTCTTTCATGTACTACCTCCTGTAGTGATTTTTGCCATTTTATATTTTCTAACATTAAGTAGAAGTGACTGTATTCAATTTAGAGATACTTTTCTCTTGCTGTTCATATTTTGATTAGACCAGTGCATTTTCTAATCACCTTGGCTTGGATATGGGAGTTGAAGTACTAGGATTGAAAATTTACATTGGGTAACCATCTGATAATTAACTATATGTGGACTCTGGTTTTGAGCTTCATAGTTTCCGGTTCAGTTTGAAAGAGGACAGGAGGTCACTAGATGCCTTTTACAGTGAGTTAAGCAGTAATGAAAGTAATGAAACCTCCATTTGACTCTTGTCGTTCGGTGTTAGGATAAATCTGGGAATGATAATCTAGGCATGACCTAAAAGGTTTAATTTATTCTAGGTAGATCTCTGAGAAGAGAGGAAGGAGTGGCATTAACGAATGAAAACTTTGTCTAAGGTTCAATGGCAAAGTTCAACCTGAGTTTCCAGGACATTTATCGTTTGCCTCCCAGTATGGCCAGAAAGCATATGTGAAGGTGAAAAATAATTTTTATGTGTATAGTATTTTTCACAAAGTTTAATTTTCCTTTTTTACCAGTTTCAGTGAAGATACAAAATTATCTGTATGATAATATCTCCTGTAATTTTATTTGGAATGACAACTGAGTTTTCAGGAGTGTTGTTTAAATGTCTGATTGGAAGTATTGTTAAAGCTTTTAGTTGCTGAGTTCTAAAGTTACTGATTGAAACAGGTCCTAAAAAATGCAGATTGATAATGTGAAGGCTGTTTCAGAAATAATTGTGATTATGAACACTGATAAAATGTTTAACTCTTCCACACTCTAATTAATAAATGTGTTATGTATGTCTCCCCCAACCTTTTTTCATAGGTTCTCCAGTAGCATAACCTGAATTGGGTTAGTGCTCCAGAAGAACCAGCAGATCAACTTGATCAGGACGGTTCAGGAATCTTTTGGAGCAGTGTTGGGATTTCCCACCAGAATGAGTATGATTGGCTGTGATTTTAGGTTCGTTTTTGAAGATCATTGTGGGTAGTATTTGTATTTTACTTCCTGGAATGGAGATGGTGGGGTATTTCCATTTTGTGACTGAGATACTTTGGTTTCTTCCATTATCTGGATCTGATGTGGGACTGGTAGCTTCTGGTATGTAAGTGTTACTCTTTACTGAATTAAAGAGAACTGTTGAAATCACCATAAGCATCATTCAGAAATAAAATTGCAAGACAGTATGTCTAACCAGTTCTTTTTTTTAAAGTTCTGAAAAATTTTAAACAGAAAAATTGAATAGTGTAATGATCCCTGTAGGTACATCACCATCTTAACATGCAGCAACTTGGCAGCTATTCTGTTTCATCCATTTTGAAATAAATCCCTGCTGTTGTTGTTATTTGTAAAGTATTTGTATCTCTAAAGGACAAGTACTTTTAAAACATAAACTCAAAACCGTTATTACAACTGAAAACATAAACTGATTTTTTTATATCAAATATGAACCTGTTCACATTTCCCTGACTTCTTGTTTTGTTTTGTGGTTATTTACTTTGTTTTTTTGCAGTTTGTGTTAGGATCCATAAAAGTCCATTTATTGTAACATTATTGCAAAGGGTTGATGTGGCTCCTAGATCTGTTTTAGTTTGCAGGTTGTATCTCTTTTTTCCCTTCAATTTTTTTTTTTGTTGTGGAAATTGTCCTATAGTTTCCCACACAGTGGGAATTACAGCTCAGTAATGGTGTCTAATGCATTTTGCTAAGTTTAAGACCCTGGAGGACCCATTATAATCGAACAATGGCAGTAATCTCCTATATCCCAGTTGGAGTTGATACTGCTGGCCTAGTCAGTATCCTAAAATAACTAGTCATGGATTCCTTTTTCTATGGCAAAGTCTGATTTGATTTGATACCTGACTTCAGTTCCATGTCTTGGCTCTGCTTACTGCTCCATGTTAAAAGTAGGCCGCCTGGTGGAAAAAGCTAGTGTTTCCTAGATAATCACCTGATTGTGCTTTTGGGATTCTTAATGCATGGTTTCCGTTTCCTTAGGTGATTTAATTATTTTTACCGCAATATTAAGTTGCCTTTAATTTTGATGTTGGTATCTCAGCTGCTCTGACCCATAACTTCTAAGCTGCTGAGACCTAGTGATGAGTTCCTCTGGCTTCATATAGTTCTTGAAATTGCAATACAAAAACAACAGTTTTTGAGAGCTTTCACTTGCATCCCGTTTTTCAGCTGTCAATAAAAATACACAACCATGGTTTTCCTATTTTTTATTTCTCACCAGTTTGTCCCAGCATAAAGTCCTATTAAAGTGTTTGTCTCTTACTTGTGCTACATTGACCCTTCTGTGGTCTACTGTGTATCCTTTCCATGGTGAAAATCTGAGAATGGAAATTGGACACATAGGCTTCAGCCAGCCTTTGATTTAGGCACAGGTGGGAGCAGAGCAAGGCCACTTATGCCCAAATAAGAGTAATTCCAAGTTAAGAGGGGGAGAAAGGGTTGAGATCATCATGAATGCAAGTTTTTGAAGTATTTAGATGAAATATGATTGTGAATCACCAGTGCCATGGGTAAGTCACTACTTGAAAATTGACTATTAAAAGAAAGAAGTGATTCCTTGGGAATTGGTAGTAAGCTTATGCATTCAACAAAAATAATTTTGAGCACATTGGATGTAGGATGTATCCCTGAGTTTCCTGTAGTTAGGAAGTTTGAGCAAAATCATTTAAACCTGAGTTTGTGAAACTAGGGTAACCCGGGTGTTGGTATAAATTTTGCACACAGCAGCCATTCCAATTATTTGAATTTTTCCACAGTTAACAGCTGCAGGTTCACAATGGAAGTGCTGTTGAAGTTTTTTTCCCTTTTGTTGTTTTCAACCATGAGTTCAAAGTATTATTGAAATGCTAAACTTGGTTGCTTTGAAAATATTTGCCCTTCACATTCCATGTTACCTCTTCTGGCAAGATTAAGTTAATTGAAATATGTTGTGAAACTGTAACCATATTAGGCTGCCTTACAGTGATCTCACTATCTACAAGGTGGATCCTGTCAAGCACATGGGCTCTTGGTGTTTTTGTTGTATTGTTCTCTGACTCCTTTCCTCAATGACTGGTTACCAGATGTTTATATATGTTAATATCAGGGATAATTCAGCTCTTAAGATTCTTTGGAAGCCCTCTCATTTGATGTGTCATATGGGTTGAGTTGCTAAAACTTGATGTACTTGTTGACCAGCTTGGTCTTCTGGTTATAAAAATGCTTTCAGATAGTGAAGGAGTGGCTTTCTGTGAGTAAAACAGCTGTAGGCTTTGTTTGGGCTGTTGTTAATCCTGACCATTTTCCACTTTTAGGCCTCTTAAAATGTTTCTAGTCATTTGGTTTTTAAAATTAACAGTGCTGACATAGATTGATCCCAGAATGTGATTTCACAGAAAGTTGGAATTTAATTTCCTATGACTGTATGATTGAATGGAGAATGGTATATAGATCTGATTCAGTGTGAATTGTTGATTGAGTTAGATGAGTGTTAAAATTCTTCAACCCTGAGATTCTGGTTGTATAATCTTATGCATTGAAAGACTGGTTTTTTCTGTCAGTAGTCATTAAATGCTGACTAAAAGGGACTAAGAGTAGGGACATGAATTATTCTAGAATGACCTTTCACTGTATTCATTTAGATTTAAAAGATTTGTAAGTCTGAACATAGTACTATGCATTTACTAGTTTTAGTACAACTCAGATTTTTAAGTCCTTTTGATTAGCTATTAGAGATAATTGTTACAGAAATGTGTGAGTTTTGGAAAGACTTTTGAAAGACTGCTTTGCTTATTACATTATTCATTGTGATTGTTTTCTTGTTTGTCTGTTTTATCATCAAGCATACTTCTCCTGGTCTTTACTTGAAAGAGTTGGGGCTGGTGCTTTGGCATAGTGGGTTAAGCCACCACCTGCAGTGCCGGCATCCCATATGGGCGCTGGTTTGAGACCTAGCTGCTCCACTTCCGATCCAGCTCTCTGCTATCGTCTGGGAAAGCAGTAGAGGATGGCCCAAGTCCTTGGGCCCCTGCACCCACATGGGAGATCCGGAAAAAGCTCCTGGCCTCGGATCGGCACAGCTCCAGCCATTGCAGCCATCTTGGGAGTGAACCAGCGGATAGAAGACCTCTCTCTCTCTCTGCCTCTCCTTCTCTTTCTGTGTAACTCTGCCTTTCAAATAAATAAATCTTTTTTTTTAAAAGTCGGAGTTAGAAGAGAGAGAGGAGAGACAGAGAGGAAAAAGAGATCTTCCATCCACTGGTTCACTCCCCAGATGGCTGCAACTGCCAGAGCTGGGCCAATCTGAAGTCAGGAGCTGGGAGCTTCTTCTGGGTCTCCCACGTGGATGCAGGGGCCCAATCGGTTGGGCCATCCTCCATTGCTTTCCCAGGTGCATCAGTAGGGAGCTGGATTGGAAGCAGAGCTGCATGGGATTGAACTGGCACCTATATGGGATGCTGGCACTGCAGAAGGCAGCTAAACCTGCTGCTCCACAGTGCCAGTCCCTGGTCTTCGTTTTCTAAAAAAATTTTTAAAAGATTTTCTTCATTAATTGAGAGGTAGAGTTACAGACAGAGAAGGAGAGAGAGAGAAGGGTCTTCCATGCACTGGTTCACTCTCCAAATGGCTGCAATGGCCAGAGCTGGGCTAATCCAAAGCCAGGAGCCCGGAGCTTCTTCCAGGCCTACCGTATGAGTGCAGGGGCCCAAGCACTTGGGCCATCTTCTGCTGCTTTCCCGGGCCATAAGCAGAGCGCTGGATCTGAAGAGGAGCAGCCGGGATTCAAACTGGTGTCCATATGGGATGCCGGTGCCACAGGCAAAGACTTAGCCCACTATGCCACAGTGCCAGTTCCTAAAAAAAACTTTCACTTCTGTTATTCTTGACTACTGTGTTCTGTCAGTTGCAGTGTTATAGCTGGAAAGCCATTTTAGCATTGTGGTTAAGAATGTGGACTCTAGAACCTTGGGTTCAATTTCTGACTCCATTTCTTACCTGCTGTGTCATCTTGTACAAATTATTTAACCTCTTTGTGGCACAGTTCTTCTTGTATAAAATAGTGGTACAGTTACCTCATAGGATTTTGGACCATTGTAACTGACTTAACACATGAAAAGTGCTTAGAACAATGGTTCTGAAACTGAAGGGAACATCTGAATCACCTGGAGGGCTCGCTGAAACAGATTGCTGGGCCCTAGCTGTTGGGTTTGTGATTCTGTAGTTCTAGAAGGGGCCCCTGTGTTTTGCAGTGGCAGTGAGTTCCCAGGTGATGCTAATGTTGATGGTCAGAGAACCACTGGCACAGAACAATGGTTGGCACAGAGTGTTAGCTTATTTTTTCCGGACTCTACTTTCTTAGTCTGGGTAAATCACTTCACTTTTCAGTGTGGTCTAGTGTTGCCTTCAGCTAGAAGCAGTTTTGAAATCCTCTGATCGTTCTTAGCATGTAGTTCCCACATCTGTTTCTGTTTCTTGCAAATTGGCAGCTGGATCCAGAGCCTTAATCAATTGAGGATCATTCCCTTTGACAAAAATATTGGCAGAGGTATATTCACTCAGAGCATTCGTTGTTATGATATCTTGGATTTTTTAGTCCATTAGAGGCTACAAAATGGTGACATTCTAATGTTGTCAAGTAGTTTTCATGTATTAGCTGCAATAATTGTTTAAGATGTTTTCCCTCGTTTTTTATTGGTTATTCAGTGATACAATTTATAATTGGAAGGACAAGTTATAAACTGTCAGCTTTCTTTTTTTTTTTAATGTATTTTTTTTTTTGACAGGCAGAGTGGACAGTGAGAGAGAGACAGACAGAAAGGTCTTCCTTTGCTGTTGGTTCACCCTCCAATGGCCGCCGCGGCCGGCGCGCTGCGGCTGGCACACCGCGCTGATCCGATGGCAGGAGCCAGGTGCTTTTTCCTGGTCTCCCATGGGGTGCAGGGCCCAAGCACCTGGGCCATCCTCCA